ATGTTCAGGTTAAGGACTGGCCTTATGGGTTTTGTGCCTTTGGTCAGGTTAAGGTCTATCTGGTTAAGGTCTATCTAAGGACTGTCCATAGGGGTTTTGCGCTCCGATTGGTCAGGGTAAGGACTATCCATACTGGGGTCTTGTGCTCTAGTTGGTCAGGTTAGGACTGTCCAAGTGAATCTTGGTCAGATTATCAGTGCCAGTTCAGAATCAGTGCAGCTAATAGGGTGTGACATATGAGTTGGCATGATGCTTGTCATATACTGTAAATGGACTCTTCACAACCCCGAACCCCTCTCCCACAAAATAAAGCTTTGTGTTTAATATTGTGTTGTCAACTTGTGTCATTAAAGCAAATTTATAGCCCATATAAATTTAAGTTAATGAGACAAGGTGCAATGGTAAGATGAGGAGGAATCCCTGGTTTATATCAACCTAATGCCTGACAGTTATGTCAAAGATCTTGACATATAGGTCAAAGATCATCTTCTGCCAGCTAGCGCGCATTCACGTGCACAAACCGTGAAACTTGCTGCGAACCAATTGAAAACCTTGTACGATTGTGTTCTGTGCTTTGACCAATCATAGGCCATAACACAGCCCATCCTAATTGGCGCATAACATGCACGAGTTCATGCAAAAAATGTAATTTATTCTGAGCCGTCGACAGAGTAACATTATCAAAAAAATTTTCCCACCCACCCACCTCTCCTCTGCTTACCTTGACTGGATTTAAAAATTAAAATTTAAAAAACAAAAAATAAAAAAAAAAATACAAAAAAAACCCCCCGTAAAACAAACAGTTAAAGTTTTAATGTTACAATATTAGGGAATGCAGTAATAACATTCTTGTGTCTACAATATACCCGTTCCCATGGAAAGACATGGACAGAAATGCATTGTATGTAATGGTATATATAATACAGTAGATGATTATGTACAAAGGGATGCTACGACCGATCTCAAGGACATTCTGAATTGTTGGTAGACTAGCTTATCTAATTCATTGTGGATATTATGGATATTATTGTGCATGGAAAATATTTTGCTTGTAAGTTCTTGTTGAGTAATTCAAATAAAGATTTGTGGTTCGGGTTGAAGTCTCCATAAAATGTCAACTTCAGGACCATAGACTCAATATATGTCACACATAATATATCTAAATCTAAGGACTGTCCATGGGGGGTTACCCGCCATGTTCAGGTTAAGGACTGGCCTTATGGGTTTTGTGCGTTTGGTCAGGTTAAGGACTGTCCATAGGGGTTTTGCGCTCCGATTGGTCAGGGTAAGGACTGTCCATACTGGGGTCTTGTGCTCTAGTTGGTCAGGTTAGGACTGTCCAAGTGAATCTTGGTCAGATTATCAGTGCCAGTTCAGAATCAGTGCAGCTAATAGGGTGTGACATATGAGTTGGCATGATGCTTGTCATATACTGTAAATGGACTCTTCACAGCCCCGAACCCCTCTCCCACAAAATAAAGCTTTGTGTTTAATATTGTGTTGTCAACTTGTGTCATTAAGGATAAGTTAATTATATTATCCCCTGCCTTTTGTTTTTGGATTTTATTGAGTAGTTGTTTTTTTGCTTTGTGTCTGTTCGCGTTTTGGTTTCGTTTGTTCTGTAGTTGTGCTAGTAGTTTTGGTTTGGTTATTGTTATTTTCGGTTGTTGTTGGTCCTTTGTTTGTTCTGAAGATAGTCTAGGATGTGTCTCGGTTGATAAAATTTTTAATTTGTTGTTGGATGTGATTTGACAGTAATGGGTGTGTTATGGTGTTTGTTCTCGGTGAGAAGTTGTGTCTTGTAGCTGTTGTTGTAGTTGTATGTATCAGTGGATATCGGGTTGGTTGTAGTAGTGGGTTAATTGGTATTAGAGGTGTTGGTGTGTTGGGTCTGTAAAGGAAGTTTGATCGTGTTGTTGTGGGTGTCAGTGGGCCTCTTGGGTGAATGTGCGGTCTGTCAAATGTTGTCATAGAGTTAGTGTAATATGTTGCTATGTCAGTTTGTATGGGTGTATGTATGTTTCCCATAATCTGCTGTGTATTACGTGTCCGTATTGGCGTAGAGTTTTTTGCAGTCGTAGTATGTATTGGTTTATCGTTGTTATCGTTTATCGTTGTTGTTGTTTTCCGTCAAGTATAATTATAACAGGGGTGGCCTACTGTAAGGGTAATACGCAACTCATAGTTCAGCAGTTATCGTATTAATTACAATTGATTTCACTTAGTCAACATCACGAAATTTTCGCACAACCAACACATATATATATATATATATATATATATATATATATATATATATATATATATATATATATATATATATATATATATATATATATATAAATATATATATATATATATATATATATATATATATATATATATATATATATATATAAACTGATAGGCAAAACAAAACATAACAATTTCGACTGTCCACATATAGCGGTACCTTAAAAACCGTCAAGTATAATTATAACAGGGGTGGCCTACTGTAACGGTAATACGCAACTCAGCAGTTATCGTATTAATTACAATTGATTTCACTTAGTCAACATCACGAAATTTTCGCACAACCAACACACATATATATATATAAAACACGAAATATTATGAACAGGGATATTCTATTTAGTGCAAATTCTAGAGAAAAGTGAGCTGTTTCCGTAATATTATCAAGGAAGAGCTTTTAGCAAGAGAAAATCCATTTTTCTGGTCTGAAATCTTCACCAAAATTCTAATCATGCCAAAACAGCACAAATATCCAATTTAACACCGCCACATCAACATCGAGCATAATCATTTACTGTGGTAAAAAAGTACCGAATTTCGCTATAGAGTGTAAAATACTGTCACACTATAACCAAGAAAATGCAGTATACCATCAAGAAACATACTATCTGGCCTGGAAATATTCAGG